CCCCAAAACCCCAAAACCCCAAAACCCCTAATTAGAAAAGGAAAATTGAAAATAAGGTCTTAGACTCTAAAACTGCCTTCTATGTTTTTTATTATTTCTACCTTTCTTCCCTGGCCTTTCGATTTCCCAAGCATCTTTTGCCCAGTTTTGAGCGAAAGTTCCTCCTTTATTTCCCCAATTTCCTTGGTTGGATTTTTTATTCTTGCTCTTGTTTTTCTTCTTATTGTTCTGTCCCTGGTAGCCTTCATGGGAGTCTTTTGTCTTTTGGAATTTATTTCTTTGGAATTTGTTATTTTTCTTGTTGTAGTTTCCCTTTTTGGACTTTTCTGATTCTAAACATAAGTTTTGAGGTACTTTTAGCGGTTTGGTATCTTGGAATATCATCTTCATCATCAAGAAGAATTACCTCTGTTGGAGTAGGCTATAGGTAAAGTATTGAAGCTTACTTTAGAATGTGCAAATTTATCAGAATGTGATGAATAATCCTCTATGTCTGAGATTGAGGAGTAATCTATATACCCATTGTTAGAGTTCAAATAATATGACTCAGATTTACCCTTCAAATAGTTATTCTGCTTCTTTTGTTTATTTTTCTTTAAACTTGATTTCTTTTTAATCATGCTCTTGGCTGTTTTGTAGTGATAGAAATTTAGCAAGAAAAGTGAAGCAAATAATCCAACCATAAGCAATAAAGTATAGCTTACCTTCTCTTTCTTTGAATGAAATTTCCTGTGTGGTGCTCACAATTGGTTGGAAATCATCTTCTTGGAACCCTAAAAAGTCTCTACTCGAGAATTTCTTTTGCTCTTCTTTTTGCTGTCTCTTCTTCTTTGAGTTCATCTTCTCAAGAAAGTTTACCTTTGGTTTACTTTCATGGTGCTCCTTTATTTTCTCAAAAATGGTATTCTTGTGTTCGTCATTAACATTGTTAGAGTGTTTTTCATGTTTATTCTTAGACTTTTTGTTATTCTTGTCCTTCTTATCTCTTTTCTCTTTTTTGCTCTTTTTGTCTTTCTTGTCTTTTTTATCTTTCTTTTCCTTTTTCTATTGAATTTATAAGTAGTTTACCTTGGATTTGCTCTTATTCTTGGTAATTTTGTCCTCAAATGTTGTGAATAGTTCATTCCCTTGGCTTTTTGATCTTCTGTCTTCTCTCCTATAAGAATTAAGAGGGTTGGTTTCATGATAGAAACTTACATATGATACTTCTGTCTATTAATTTCTTCCTTATTGATCTTATCTCTCCTAAATGTCTTTCTCTGATAGTTAAGGTATAGAGGGTTTTCTTCATAGCTACAATCGACGAAGTGGTGGTCTTTTCTACCTCAATTTCCACAGTATTTCACTTTTATTTGAGATTCTGTTCACTCTTTATCCTCTATTGGGAAATTGTAGAAACTCTTCATGTGTTTCGAATTATTGTTATGATCTAAGGATTGCATTCGAATCTTCTTCATCTGTTTACTATTCACCATGTTTGTGCCTATCTCATCAAAATTGTAGTAACTCTCATCACTATCTGAGCCTTGTGTCTCCTTCTTATTTCTCCAAGCTTGTTCGTCATCTAAAAGATCCTTCAAAGTATATGGTTCAAGAATGGAGGATTTAGATTTCATAATTTCTTGCTCTTCTTCACTATCATGAACTTCATCTTCTTCAAAGGTGATGTGGTAATCTTTCCTATCAATATTTTGGCAATTCAGGTGTCCAGGCTTGGAGCATATCATGCAAAGCACCTGCTTTAACCTTCCGTTATAGGCTGTCATGAAGCATTTATCCCCGCTGTGACCAATGCTTTTGCATTTATATCACATGGTAATGTTTCTCTCCCTTCATTCAGAAATTTTATGGCCTGACTTATTGCACCTATGATATTTGAGATATGGTAAATATTTAGAACTTGGCCCAGTAATTTTTAGAAAAGGCTTACCTGAAGCATTTGATTGAGGTTCAGTTTTCTTGAGGACCGTGTTCGAGTCCACAAAACTTACATCAAGGGTATTTTGTCTCGTTAGGGCAATTTCTTGCCATATGTCCTATTTCTTGACAATTTCTACATCTGAGACTGATCGAGTCTTTTTGGTAGTATCTATTCTGAAGTCCTGTGGCTTCCTTTTTGTCTTCCTAAAGTAACATAAGTTTAGACTAATGAGCAACATCTAATAAAGCCTATCAGGGTTTATTAGAGCTTTTATATGGCAAATAACTTACTTCATCTTGTTCATTATCTTCCTTTTTGACTTCCTTTTCAGGCTCTGTTTTCTCTTCTTCCTTCTCCTCTCCTTTGAACATCGTGGCTCTGTACTTGTTTCCTTTAAGCATCTTATTTGTATCCCCTGTTAGGATGTCTGGGTTACGGAAGGAGTTAAGTACATTAATATAATGAGGAAAACCCAACTTTTCGTCTAGCACATTCTTCCTCTGATTGGCTAAATTTTTAGTAGTGTTAATATAAATGTAATTATTGATTGACCATCTCAACTGGTCTCTATCAGACTCTAAGCTAGCCCCTCCATAACTTGGCTGCACTGGGGTAATAGCTGAGGTTGATTTGGCCTTTGTATCCATCTGCTTCCTTATGTCAGAGAGTCTTTCAGAAAGTTTGGCGTATTCGCTACTCATTTATAAATCAATTAAATTATTATTATTTGTCTTTCAAAATATCTATCCTAAAATGGGGTTTTGGGGTTTTGGGGTTTTGGGGTTTTGGGG